GGGGCAGGGTGGACAAAGGGAAGTAAGGAAAACCCTAAAAGCTGTTTTTAACCAAGGTGTAAACATCAGAGCCATGTGCTTGCGGGGAGATCACTATGGTGGCAGTGTGAGGGCAGACTGGCAAGTTAGACCAGAAGCAAAGAGCCAGTTGGAAGATGATGACTGTACAGGTCATAAATAAAACAGCCTGTCTGCCTCACATGGATGGTGGCCTCTGTAGCCCATTTGAGAATAGCCAAGAAGAATTGAAAATAATAGCAGCAGCAGTAATAGCAGAAGTAGTAGTAAGGAAAGCAACTAACACTTCTCTAGCTCTTACTATGTGCTGGGCATAGTTCTGCACATTTTGCATACATCTACTCATTTAATTCTCACCATAAAACAGAGACCAGGGCTAAGTCTAGCATCTGATTTAAGAACCCATACTCCACGCTCAGTTTTCAGGCCTCTCATTTCTTCCAGGTGGCCTGGCTTTCCCACACCAGTGCAGACTATGTGTATTCACAGCCAGTAGCATAGCCACATGAGGTACAGGCTGAGGAGATTTTTCTCCCTTCAGGCTTCCCCTGGCTGCAGTTTCTGACAGAGCAACATTTGATGACTGATTGCTATGGGCAGCTTATTTCCAGCTCCTCATGTATTGTGGGAGCCTAAAACTGGACGGTCCCCCAGGCTTAATGCCTCATGGGCATTAAGCTCTAGTTAGCTTCAAAGACCTAACAATAATGGCACCTTTTACTCTGCTCCCTGCTCTGACTCTGAGAGACTTATGCTTCCTGGTGTGCAGTATAGCTTAGCCTGCTGGTTTGTTAACTTGGTTGTATTTCATCCAGCACTTATTGGGTTCATGTGCTGGAGCAGGAGATAGGGAAGGAGGGCCTTATTCCTTGTCCATCACTCATTCTACCATATTGCCTGTAGGTCCAAAACAGTCTGCAAAAAAGAGCATTCTGGCACTCTCTCACCTTCCTGGAAACCAAAATTTGATTTCGGATGTAAGCTGTAAGGGAACACTCAAGCAGACAGCTGGATGGAGCAGGCACTGGGTGTGGTACTCAGGAGAGAGGTTAGGTCTAGGACCACACAGCCAGCTACAAAGAGGTACTGAGGTGACAGTTGAAGCTCTCCAAGCTGGTATGCTCACTGAGGGAAGTAAAATGGGAAGGCAAAGACTGAGATCAGAAGTCAGCTGTCAACAGCAGGAGCATTAAGCCCAAGGAGAGAGGTTTTTCAGGAAGAGGGTAATGAACAGAGTCCAATGCCATGGCAACATCAGGCAGATGGGAGTGAAATGTTCACCTCCCCAGAAGATGACACGGTGCTTCTGAGAAGCAGCTGCAGGCAGGTTCCCGAGAAGCAACAGACTGGAAGCTACCAGTGTTGGTTTTCCTCTGCATTCCATCTTCTCATCCTCCACATCTGCTTCACCTCCCACCTGGGCCAAGGCTCAGAGAAGCCTGAGGCCAGTAGCCCAGGCCTCCCACTGCCTCCTCACCCATGTCAGAGAGGAGTATGCAGCACGGCAGCAGATGCAGGGTACAGAGGCACTTCCTGGATGAATGACTCTGAGATCACAGCATGGGAATGCCACACATCTGCCTGCCTCAGATATCCACCAAGTAGCTTTAGATCTCAGTGGAAGGAGATAATCTTCTGAACTGCAGTGCTCAGTGACCCTGGCTCCCAGTGCCCGGGGGGTGAGAACGCTGATCCTAGACCTTCCTGTCCCAGGTCACACCCCGCAGACCAGGCCTCCTGACTATTGACCAAAATTTCCTCCATGCCAAGAACTTCAATTTTCACTTTGCTGCTGCAAATGAGTCAAACTCTCTGGACCTATTCAGGAGGAAAGAGAAAATCACTCTGGACACGTGCACAGAGCAAGTACAGCACGTGTGGGCATGCCTGGGGTGTGAGTGTGTGTGCGCATGTGTGTATGTGCTGGGGGAGAGGGGCACATGGAGCTTGTGACTGTGATTGCCATTCCAGGAATATCCAGGCCCCAGGTCACTCAGGAATACTGAGTCTCTTCTCAGGGTCCTTCTGGTCAGAGAACAAGCTTCAGTGGCTTCCCAGTTCTCAGGCCTGAACCTAGGAATCACCCCCATTCCTTTCCTCTCCTTGTCTTGGCACCCCCTAAAACCCTCTCTTCAGAACACATTCCCCTGTCAGTCTGTTCCCACTGCCATCCATACCCTAGCCAATGTCACGTCACTCTTGGACTTTCTCTGCCTCACCTCCTAACTAAGCCCCTGGTTTCCACTCTTGGTCCCCACCCCCTCCCAGTTAGTTTTCTACACAGTAGCAATAGCAATTAAAAACACAAAAACCAAACAGATTAGATCATGTCTGTTTCCTGTTCAAAACCCTTCAGTGCACTTAGAATAGATGCGACTCCACTCCCGGGCTATGAGCCCCAGCCACACTGATCTGGGGGTTCCTAGATCATGCCAACTTCATTCCTCCTGTGGACGTCTGCACCAGCTGCCTGGAATGCTCATCCTCTCATCCTGGCATGGTTGCTTCCTTTAAGTCATTCAAGCCTTGGTGTGAAGGGCCTTATCTCTGAGGGGCCTTCCCAGAACACCCATACTAAAGTCAATACCCAGTTATTCTCCCTCCCACCCTGTTGTAGTCTGCCATTACTTTACTCCTGTCTCATCACTCCTTATCATCACTTCATGCACTCAACCAACATCTGCTGGTCACTTCTTGTGCCAGCCTGACCAGGCATGTGTTCATTCTTCCTGAATAACATCTATCTCCCCTGGATAAAGTAAAAGGCATGAGGATGGGGTGTTGGCTACAGCCTCAGGGCCTGGCATGAAGGAGGCGTTTGATAAATATTTGATTTGCAGAATGAATAAGAGCTGAGAGGTGATGTGTACTCAGGAAATCAGAATTGGCTGATACAACTTCTGGCGTAGGTTTCAAGGCTTTGAAGAGGCCAATATTCCAAAGTGGCTCCAGCGCTTGGATAAATCATTCCCTGTATGCATTTCTCCAGGCCAACCATGATTCCTTGTCATGTATCCACCCAGCACTGATTAAGGGCCAAGGCTGTCTTTGGATCAATAACACAGGTAGGTGAAAGGGGGGAGTCTGATCTAAAACAAGGCTAAACCATGGGTTCACCAAAAACCAGTAGCTTCCGTCACGAATGACCTGGGAGCCTTCCGTTGTAATCCATGTGGTATGCATCACCTCTTCTCTCCCAGACACAGGTCTGGAATTTGCCTTTCTTATTTCCTAGAATGCTGCATCTTCCACCTTCTGCCCTGACAAGTGGTCCTCTGTGATCAATAAAAAGCCCAGCTCCAAGTCCTTGAATAGTGGGGCGGTTTCTCAGAAAAACAACAACAGCAAAAAAAAGCAAAGCAAGAAAGAAATGTGCTGCTTCTCTGGGTCCCCTGATTCCTTGGAGACATATAACCTCAACCTCCTGGCATCTCCCTGGCTCCCTCAGCTAAATGCCCACAGAGGTGACAGCAGCCACTTCCAGGGGAGTGAGGCAGGAACAGAAGCCCCACCAGCTTGGACTAACCAAAGAGCAAATGACCAGCTTTTAGGGTCCCTGAGAGTCACAGGATCACTCAGAATAAGGCCTAAGAACATGCCCTCCTGGTCCTCACATAGCTCCTAGCAGCCCAAGAAACAATAACAGCATCTAAATGATGGAAAATTCATTTGAAAAAAGCCTCACTGCTCAGATGTCCCTGGAATCCCAGGGTTGGCAGCCACTGCAGAAACCATGGCTTCCAAACATCCTACCAACATCCAATGTCATTGCTCAGTTGCAATTCACCCAGAAGCCCAATACACGGACTGGTACAAACAGGGCTGCCTGATGGGAATTGGGCCTAGGCTGGCTGCTTGGCACCCTTACTTCTCTCCCTCATCCCCTAGTAGTCCCCAAGGCAACTCTAAGGACTCCTAGGGCTCTACAAAGCATTGACAGAAAACCACTACTCTGCACCAACTGTCCTGAGCAGAGGTAGGAAATGAGTCTCGCACTCTGAATGATACCCAAAAGCAAACCTAGTTTCCGGACTCCAGGCTGACACTTCTCACCCCACTTTGCTAGGGCTAGATCTATGGAAAGTTGCAAGTTAAAGAAACAAGGCTCATTTCTGATCACCTACAACTTAATCCTTAAGTATTTTAAAGGCCCCTGAGCCGGCCAAGTAGGAAACAGAGTCCAGCCCCTTACACTGGCAGAAAGGTCCGAAATGAGTTGTAGAAGTGTATCTGACAACCCCATAAGGTTCCTGTCAGTTCTGTGGGACATAAACAGGTCTTGAAAGACTTAGGCTGTGTGTCTGTGAGAGACCCTGGACCAGGCAGGCCAGAAGGTGAATGCTAATGAGCTATGGAAATAGCAATTACTTCCCCCATGTCAGGCACTGTGCCAACTAAGGAGGATAAAGAGGTCTGAGATATTTTTAAAGTATTTTTACAGCAGAAAAACTTTCCTACAGACTCAATTATATAACTATCAGACTCCACCTCTGAGTTGAAATTATCCATGGCCTCAGAAGAAAAAAAAAAAAAGAAAGAAAAAATCATTTTTTTTCTAACATGAGGGTCACAGGTTTCTCCAGAGACAACTCTATATGGCCAGTGACCAAGGGCAGCTGCAAACCATCAGCCCAGAGACCTTCCCAAGTGCAGGTTGGAGCCTGCCAGAGATGACTACTGGCCAAGAGCAGGACAGAAGTTATGCACTGACCCAGCCATTATAGACGATGCTGTAAAGTCCAGGATGATTCCCTGCAGGGCTTCCAACCCCAGCCACGTCAGCTCCCCCACCACTTCCTTGAACCAAATGGGGTTGGGTCACTGAAGCCATGAGGATGCCCAGAGAATGTTTCATTAACTCACACAACTGTCCCTAGCAAAGCACAGACAATCAGAGAAAGCCCAGAACTTAAGTCATGCACACCTTCAGCAATGAAATAACAGCCGAAATCAAAGGGACAGACTTAGGGAGATTAACTTACAGCCCAGGTTTTTGTCAGCCTGAAGATGGGAGCACTCTGTAATGCTGATACCACAGACATGAGAGAATGAAGATTGTTGAGTTCTAGAAGTTTCTGGGGGAAAAAAAAGATATGGAATACATTATTTTGCTGTTGTAAACAACAGAACAAAAACATGCTCAAGTGTTACCAAATGTTGTCATATTTATGAAATTCAATTACACTTAAAAATATCTCATGTAGAAAATATAGTTCTAAGAGGTTCATAGGAACCATATGTTCTTTTTCTCAAACTGTCAAAAGGTGAGTCTGCATCTAAAAGACTTGCAAAATTTCCTGGGCTGACTCATCTGGTTGCTGGACAGAAACAGGACTTGGAATGAGAGTTGATAATCCTTTTATGTTCTTTTTATAGATGAATCTGAAGCCGTCCCAACAGGCTTCTGTTAGCTAGGACTGTGGCCCTGCCAACAGCATCAGTGGGTTCCACTGTGATTACCTTAACACCTAATGAGAAGGGGGTGAAGGGGAGGGGGAGGGGAGGAATCTACATAATCCCTCTCAGCTGGGAAGGCAAGGAAGGCTCAGCTTCCCAATCACTTGACCACACATCTTTGAACCAGGCCCCAAATGAGGGAAAATATTTGGAGTCAATTCAGTCTCACACAAGTTTCTTATCGTGGAGGGTCACAGAATGAGACGCAGCAGAGTCACTACAGAAAAATGTAATTGCTGTGTTCTTGGTTTTATGCTGAGGGAAACTGGGGTCCCATTTCCCATTCTTTGGAGGCAGTGAACCTTGGGTTCACTGTGTTTCCTTCAGCAAGTTACCCAATCCTTCTGAGTCTTGGTCAACTTGTAGTTAAAACAATGAGGTGATCATGAGCACCTATGCCACATGAGACAGGCATGTCAACTACTAGACTATGCACCACTAGGGTGCGTGCTCAGTGCAAGGCGAGGCTCAGTCTTGTCTGTCTGGAAGACTCATCTTCCCTTCCCCATTCCTTGTTATGGGCACCTCTAAGCTCAGATGCCACCTCCTCTAATATGTCTTTCCTGACCATGTTCCCAAATCTACAAAGGCTGGGGACTCAGCTCTGTGTTCCCACACATTCTGTGCATACCCTTTGCACTCTGCATTGTACTTGCTTTTTACTTGCTTTGCTCTCACTCTGTACCGTATGTCCCCTGACAGCAGAGACAAAGTGTTATCTGCCATCATATCCTCAGTACCTCAGAACCTACAGTGCCCAGCAGGTTGTAGGTAAAGGAATAGATAAAAAGCCCTTAAGCCTGCTCCTCTTAGTTCTGCTCCTACTTGGAAATGTCCCCTGACCACACAAGTTAAAGTTTCATTTCATACATCTTGTAACAATCTCTAATTGTTTCCTGTGGGTAAAAATAGATTCTCTGAGTGAAATGAATTACATTCTAGCATCTGAATTTTTATGCTTGTCATAGAATTTCTAAAGCTGAAAGGCCTCTGGGAGATTTTCTAACTCACTCTTTCCATTTTACAGATGGGGTAACCAAGGCCCAGGGAAGGGAAGGTGCTTTCCCAAAGATATACCCAGATTCGAGACCAACATGATAATCCAGTACAGGAAAGGCAGAGATTAAGAAGGGATCATTTTGGACTTCTTGGGTGGGGACCATAACTCATTTCTAAACTGCAAATCCTAGGAGAGCCAGACTCACATCCTACTTTCTCTTCTGGCCCAGCATAGAACTGATGGACAGTGACAATTAGCATTAAGCTTAGCACCAGTTCCAAGCACTTCAGGAGAAGCCACAAGGCCTGGAGCTGCATGTGTGGCCCAAATGGTACAGCACCTGCCTAATGAACATGAAGCCCTGAGTTCAAATCCCAGTACTAAAAAAAAAAGAAAGAAAGAAAAATCCACAGGGCATCATCGTGATCACTGTCTCTGATGTACCTTACAGAGTGATGAGCTTAACCTTCCCATGAGAGGCAGCAGAGCAGCTCCCCTGGAGGCATAGACATGATTTTGATTTCTGCTCTGCCACTGGGCATGGACACCTTACCTCTCTAAGTCTACTTCCTGCTCTGCAAATGAGATGATCTCATATAAGCACTGAGTGTGACTACATTAGTACAGTAGCTATTATGTGCCTGTATGGAAGGTCCTCAGTCCTGGCCAGCTTTCTGAGGATCTGGTAGGAAGACAAGACATGCACACATGAAGGGAGAAGTGAACCAGACACAAAAATGCTGCTGCAGAGTCTAGCAAGCCCAGGTGGCAGAAGCAGGGAATGAGGAGTTGCTACCTGGGCATGACAGTGGTATAGGATGGCATAACTTGGGCTGGCAGAGATCAGGGAAGAGGAGAAGTGAGGTCAACAAGCATCAAGGACAGATACTACCAAGTCAGGAGGAGGAGGTGAGAGTGGGCAGCAGGGCCACCTGGCCCAAGCCTTAGCTCAGTATGGGGTGGCTGGACTCTGCAGACTGGTGCCCTGATTATGCAGGATGTGAAGAGATCACATAACTACAGCCCCAATACTCATGGCACCTAAAGGAGAATGACTGGATTCTAAGGGGAACGGTTGGGCTGCGTGGAAAGACTGAAAGCCTAGGTAAGGAGAGTCACTGGCTGATAAAATTAGGGGATGACGGGGAATGCTGCTAGGACACACGCAGAGTACAGGGGCACGGGAAGTCAGGCAGGTCTTACAGCTGGCTCAGGCCACAGCTCCTCACCACTATTTGAACCCTGTCCTGCAGGCTCAGAGCAAAGCACCTCTCAAAGTACTGAGGAGACACATTTTAAGACAAGTAAATAAACAAAATAATAAAACAGCTTACCTTGGCTATTTTCACAAAATGGCTCAGGATTTCTGCCCTTATTTTTAAAGTCTGTGCTGTTAGAATTTCTCGTACAACCCAAAAACTGACCTGTAGAGTCAAATACATACACATACACATATACCAGAAAAGTTGTTAAATGTCAGACCACCCACATCACCCTTGCCCACTGCTGCTGTGGGATTTGCAAGAGGCCAGGAAGCTGTGAGAGCATGGCCGAGGGTTGCATTGAGGTCAAGAGCTCCTTGTGGCACCTGTCCCCACCTGAGTCCCCTGTTCCGGCATCCCCTCTCCAGCACCACAGTGCTCTCAGCATCACCCAGGGGAGGGTAGGGCCCCAACACATGAGTATCTCTGCAGGGGCTGCAGGGAATTGGGAAATGAATGGACTTGGACTCCTGCTCAGTAGGAGATCATGGATGATGACAGGATGGGCAGATGGAAAGATGGACAAATGGTCAAAGGGATGTGTATGCTGACGGCAGTGCCCAGCAGTCCATAGCCCCAGGTAAGGAGAAGTCACCAATATTTGCACAAATGCGACCAATTTATTTTCTGAGAGAGGGTTGCTAATAACAAACAATGCAGAAGCATCTTCCAAAGTTCCATAAAGTAATGTAGACTATGGGTTCCAGAAACAGCATGTGCCAAAAGCCTGTGGGCTTTGGTTCAGATCCTCATTCATGCCTGACCTCTCACATACATCCACATCCCCAAGCCGCTGGGTCTGTTAATGGGAACAAGAATGTCATCTATCAATGTAGGTTTGACTCAGCAACTCAAGAAAACATAGAAAGGGGTCAGCCAAGAACGGCTGGGAAATGGTTGTCTTTTCCTGTGTGTGTCTCACCCCATCACAACAGTTCTGTGTGAAACACAGATACTTGAGAGGGCCACGAGAACATCGCAGAGAGAGATGGAGACCTGGACATGGCAGGGGGACTGGACTGATCGATGAAAACGAAGGAGAGACATCAAAAACCCTAACTTCACAAAGAAGAAGACAGTGGAGGATGGCCCAGAGATGACAAAGCACACTTACTGCTGGCTGCAACCAAATCTCTCCTCTTTGAAAATCTGTCACTTTTCAAGGAGGAGACAAGGAAAAGGAAACCAAGTTGCCTTTTATATTAAGCAAGGGTACTACAGAAATGTTTTCTCAGTGCGATCATCCATGGTTGCCTCCAGGACACGCCTGGGTTTCCATAGAATCATTTTTTCCAAGGAATTGCCAAAATTAAGCTCAGACTCAAATGTTTACTAGCCAGTTATGGAAGAAAGTTCTTCTGGGTAGCAAACAGTAAGCTCATAAACCTTATATTTTAATGTGTGTGCTTTTTATGCCATATAATCTCAAGTGTGCTGCTTTCTATACATAATTAAATAGGTTCCTGCATGCCAAAACCTCACACATTTTTTCTGGCATAATTATGGAAAGTGGAGGAGTCGATTTCAGAGTTGTAGCACACAGCATATAGAAGTAGCTCTGAAGCAAGAGTTAATTCAATAGACTTACATGAAGCCCTGACTACTTCCATGAAGCTTGGAGCTTGCAGGCTCCAAGAACTGGAGTCCAGACCTTGCCTGGCACAAGGTACAGAGCAGGAGGCACATCCTCCAAAACTCTCTGTACTGGACAGCAATTGTGATCATGGCCATGGGATGAAGTTCAAAGCACATAAACTGGAATAGGGGGAGTAATGAGGGAAGAGGGCTGTTCTTGGACAATGGGAAGACCTTACCCAGTAAGACAGGACTGAGGTGTGACTATGTATGTCACAATCAGGAACAGCTGGGCACCTGTCAGGGCTGAAGGAGCACTGTGAAGTAGAGTAATGAGGGCAGATGAAGCTGGAGAGGGAGAGGATAGCCAGACGAAGGGTTCTGAAGCAAGTAAAGAGGAAGGAGCTAAGACATTACCCTACACGGGGAGTTTCAGAGGCTTCCAAATGAGTGACAAGTGAGATCCTTCTGTCAGGCAGGGACACCCACTAGAACACTGAGCCAACGGAGCCACCAGAGATGCAGGACCTGGGAAGGACTGTGATGAAGATGAGGAGAAGAGGCAGATAAGAAAGATGTAGGAAGGTTTTAAACAGTTTTATTCTCTTTTCTAACTACAAAATTTAACAGAAGCTTGATGCAGAAAACAAGAGAGAAGAATCATTTGCAATCTCAGCCTGACATATGGACAAACACTGGGATAAACAGTGTGGTGTATAATATTCTAGTCTTTTTTCCATACATAGAACCTATGGCTGTCTTTTTCAATTAAATTGGTAATCATTAAATAGAAGGAGAGAAATAATAAAAATAAGAGCTGAAATCAGTGAAATAGAAACCAAAAAAACCATACAAAGAATTAATGAAACAAAAAGTTGGTTCTTTGAAAAAATAAACAAGATCGACAGACCCCTGGCAAACATGACTTAAATGAGGAGAGAAAAAACCCAAATTAGTAGAATCAGGAATGCTAAAGGGGAGATAACAACAAACACCATGGAAGTCCAGGAAATCATCAGAGACTACTTCGAGAACCTATATTCAAATAAATTCAAAAACCTTAAAGAAATGGACAGATTTCTAGATACACATGATCATCCAAAACTGAACCAAGAGGATCTTAATCACCTGAATAGATCTATAACACAAAATGAAATTGAAGCAGCAATCAAGAGTCTCCCCAAAAAGAAAAGTTCAGGACCTGATGGATTCTCTGCTGAATTCTATCAGACCTTTAAAGCAGAACTGATACCAACCCTCCTTAAACTGTTCCACGAAATAGAAAGGGAAGGAATACTGCCTTATGAAGTCAGTATTACATTTATCCCAAAACCAGGCAAAGACACCTCCAAAAAGGAGAACTATAAGCCAACCTCCTTAATGAACATTGATGCAAAAATCCTCAATAAAATAATGGCAAACCAAATTCAACAACACATCAAAAAGATCATTCACCACGACCAAGTAGGCTTCATCCCAGGAATGCAGGGGTGGTTCAACATACGAAAATCAATAAACGTAATAAACCACATTAACAGAAGCAAAGACAAAAGCCACTTGATCGTCTCAATAGATGCAGAAAAAGCCTTTGATAAGATCCAACACCATTTCATGATAAAAGCTCTAAGAAAACTAGGAATAGAAGGAAAGTACCTCAACATTATAAAAGTTATATATAACAAACCTACAGCCAGCATTATACTTAATGGAGAAAAACTGAAACTATTCCCTCTAAAATCAGGAAATATACAAGGATGCCCACTATCTGCACTCCTATTCAACATAGTACTGGAATTCCTAGCCAGAGCAATTAGGCAAGAAGAAGGAATAAAAGGAATACAAATAGGTAAATACACTGTCAAAATATCCCTATTTGCAGACAATATGATCCTATACCTTAAAGACCAAAAAACTCTACTCAAAAGCTTCTAGACACCATCAATAGCTATAGCAAGGTAGCAGGATATAAAATCAACATAGAAAAATCATTAGCATTTCTATATATTAATAACGAACAACTGAGAAAGAATATATGAAAACAATTCCATTTACAATAGCCTCGAAAAAAATCAAATACCTAGGTGTAAACCTAACAAAAGATGTGAAAGACCTCTACAAGGAAAACTATAAACTTCTGAAGAAAGAGACTGAGGAAGACTATAGAAAGTGGAGAGATCTCCCATGCTCATGAATTGGTAGAATCAACATAGTAAAAATGTCTATACTCTCAAAAGTAATCTACATGTTTAATGCAATTCCCATCAAAATTCCAATGACATTCATTAAAGAGATTGAAAAATCTACCGTTAAATTTATATGGAAACACAAGAGGCCACGAATAGCCAAGGCAATACTCAGTCAAAAGAACACCGCTGGAGGTATCACGATACCCGACTTCAAACTATATTACAAAGCAATAACAATAAAAACAGCATGGTACTGGCACAAAAACAGACATGAAGACCAGTGGAACAGAATAAAGGACCCAGATATGAAGCCACACAACTATAACAAACTTGTCTTTGACAAAGGCGTTAAAAATATATGATGGAGAAAAGACAGCCTCTTCAACAAAAACTGCTGGGAAAACTGGTTAGCAGTCTGCAAAAAACTGAAACTAGATCCATGTATATCACCCTATACCAATATTAACCAAAATGGATCAAGGATCTTAATATTAGACCACAAACTCTAAAGTTGATACAGGAAAGAGTAGGAAATACTCTGGAATAATAGGTATAGGCAAGAACTTTCTCAATGGAACCCCAGCAGCACAGCAACTAAGTGACAGCATAGATAAATGGGACTTCATAAAACTAAAAAGCTTCTGCTCAATGTTAGGTTGATGTGCACGGAAAGGCCAAATCGGTCAAATAACAAAGCAAGCAGTCTTTGTTGAGTGCTCTCGGGCGAGGTTCACCGTCCCCAAAAACAGGGCCGGAGAAGTCGCAGGCAAGAAATGGCAGCCCAGTTTTTTTATATCCTGGGTGAAGTCAAGACCTTTGGGTATCATGGGGCATCGGGATAGGTTGAAGTCTAGTGGGTAGGGGCTCGGGGTAATGTGGACCTAGAGGATAGGTCTGGACCTATTTCCCGCCCTGCGGGAATTGCCATGGTAACCAGAGGGGAAAGAGGGAGGAGAAGGGTGAGGTGGAAAGTCCCTGATCTTCATGAGGTGGCTGCCCACCAGCCAAACACTCAACAAAAGAAATGGCCTCTAAACTGAAGAGAACACCCACAGAGTGGGAGAAAATATTTGCCAGCTACACATCAGACAAAGGACTGATAACCAGAATATATAGGGAACTTAAAAAACTAAACTCTCCCAAAACTAATGAACCAATAAAGAAATGGGCAAGTGAACTAAACAGAACTTTCTCAAAAGAAGAAATTCAAATGGCCAAAAAACACATGAAAAAATGCTCATCATCTCTAGCAATAAAGGAAATGCAAATTAAAACCACACTAAGATTCCACCTCACCCCTGTTAGAATAGCCATCATTAGCAACACCACGGACAACAGGTGTTGGCGAGGATGCGGGGGGAAAAAAACCCTCTTACATCTTGGTGGGAATGTAAACTAGTA